GGGGAAGATTTCCTTAACATTAAAGAGATTGTAAAGAGGTTTTCTAAATTTTTTATGTGTATCAGGGACACTGATAGCATCAATTTACACCATTCCAATTTTCAATCAGATGTCTGTGGTTCCTGTAATTCCACTAAAACTAAGTGTTTGATGATGTCACTAATCGCTAAAGGCCTTGGATATCAATAGCAGCTGATGCGATTAGTCATTTTGATGTAGCTCTTTCAGAGAGTCCACATAGCTAACATTGTCAATTTGGTTTTGTCAACTCCGCATCCCTTTCAGAGAGTAGTTAATATTGTCAATTTGGTATTAGGGTTTGCCACCTTAACATCTCTTTCAGAGAGTCCACATAGCTAATATTGTCAATTTTAGTTTTGTCAACTCAGCATCCCTTTCAGAGAGTCCACATAGCTAATATTGTCAATTTTAGTTTTGTCAACTCAGCATCCCTTTCAGAGAGTCCACATAGCTAATATTGTCAATTTGGTTTTGTCAACTCAGCATCCCTTTCAGAGAGTCAACGTAGTTAATATTATCAATTTTGGTTTTGTCAACTTAGCATCCCTTTTGGGGAGTCCACATAGCTAATATTGTAAATTTGGTATTAGGGTTTGCCACCTTCACTTCTCTTTCAGAGAGTTCACATAGCTAATATTATCAATTTGTTTTTGTCAATTCATCATCCCTTTCAGAGAGTCCACATAGCTAATATTATCAATTTTTTCATAAATATTATTAAATTTTTGAAATGAAATCTACGTCTGTATCTTGTTTATCTGGGACTCCATCTTTAATACACAGCGGAAATTGTCTATAACATATTAATTATGGAACCCCAGCTTTATTAAATGAAAGAAGCCATCTGTGAGAGAATGAGAATTAATTCCAATATTTCTGAAATATAATCCTGCAGGTCCTGAAAATTCTGATTCCTGATTGTAATTTCCTGCAAGTGTTAAAGGTCTGAATCCTGATTTTGATTTCCTGCAAGTGTTAAAGGTCTGATTCTGGATTTTAATTTCCTGCAAGTGTTAAAGGTCTGAATCCTGATTTTGATTTCCTGCAAGTGTTAAAGGTCTGATTCCTGATTTTAATTTCCTGCAAGTGTTAAAGGTCTGATTCCTGATTTTAATTTCCTGCAAGTGTTAAAGGTCTGATTCCTGATTTTAATTTCCTGCAAGTGTCAAAGGTCTGATTCCTGATTGTAATTTCCTGCAAGTGTTAAAGGTCTGATTCCTGATTCTAATTTCCTGCAAGTGTCAAAGGTCTGATTCCTGATTGTAATTTCCTGCAAGTGTTAAAGGTCTGATTCCTGATTCTAATTTCCTGCAAGTGTTAAAGGTCTGATTCCTGATTCTTGATTTCCTGCAAGTGTTAAAGGTCTGATTCCTGATTTTAATTTCCTGCAAGTGTTAAAGGTCTGATTCCTGATTCTTGATTTCCTGCAAGTCCTAAAAAATTTGATTCCTGATTTTAATTTATTGAAATATAATCCTGAAAATCTGATTCCTGATTTTGATATTCTGGAAACGCAGACAATGTCTAGACGGATGCTGTTTAGTTCTAACTCAATTAACCATATAATTGCAGACTTCCGAGAACTAATTGGAACTCCAGGAAGACCGATTCCATTTCTGGAATTATCTACAGAGAATAATTTTTTTGATTTCTTTAAAAAATCAAACGGCACCAGGAAGTGAAGAACTCAATGTCAAGAAACCAGGATTTAGTATTTGCTCTACAAGCTAATAAGAGCTCCAATTCAGCTGTCTGTATCCCTTTTTAAAATTAAAATATGACATCTGGTTCTTCTGCAGTTTAACTAGAATGTACTGTGGAAGTTCAAAATTTTGTCACAATTGTTAAAGATGTCATAAATGCACTTAAAAAATTTAATAAAAAACTTGTCGACCAAACAGAAAAGATGTTAGAAAAAATGAAATTATAAAGATGGGTTCCCTGTTTATCCAGACTATACATACATGGACATTTATGATTGGTTAAAACTCTTAATTATATGCAATAAGAACATAATGATATGATTAAGAATGCATGGTAATTCATTAGAAACACCAATTAATCAAATAGTTTGCTTAATTTGACACTAAAAAATAAGGAAACCCATCTTTAAAATTAGAAAGTTTGGATAATGTTTTCTCTGTCTATATGAAACACATCACAGCAGAAAATGGCGTAGTAAATGTCTGTTCAAATCCACAATATCATGTTGGTGATTCAATCAAGCAGATAATCACCTCAGGCACTTCCCGGACCACCATCCATTTAATTGATTCATCTAGTCAATTTTATAGAGCTCTTTGTTTATCCCTGTGGCTGATCTTGACTATGTTTTCTGTCAATGACTTCGTTATATAGATTCGGTCAAGAGATGGAAAACTGACATATCTATTCACAGGGAAAACTGACATATCTATCCCAAAGGGAAACTGACACGTCTATCCCAAAGGGAAACTGACACATCTATCCCAAAGGGAAACTGACACGTCTATTCAAAGGGAAAACTGTCACATCTATCCCAAAGGGAAAACTGACACATCTATCCAAGGGAAACTGACACATCTATCCCAAAGGGAAAACTGACACATCTATCCCAAAGGGAAAACTGACACATCTATCCCAAAGGGAAACTGACACATCTATTCACAGGGAAAACTGACACATCTATCCCAAAGGGAAAACTGACACATCTATCCCAAAGGGAAAACTGACATATCTACCCCAAATGGAAAACTGACACATCTATCCAAAGGGAAAACAGACATATCTACCCCAAAGGGAAAACTGACACATGACCGTGGAAAGATGGACATGACTGACATGACTGACATGACTGACATGACTGACATGACTGACACATGACCGTGGAAAGATGGACATGACTGACACATATCTGACATGACTGACATAATTATGTCCGTGGAAAGAGTGCAATGCACCTTGGGACAATGTTTGACTTTAGACTTTGAAGAGAGGTTAAAAAAAAACATCCATTTAACAATTTAAAGATGGGTTCCCTTATTTTTATTTATGAAAATGAAAATGCTAATACTTATATGAATAGAAAGTAGAGGTGTTCTAATGACTTGAAAAAATACCAGTTTGTCTCACATGTCCATAATTAATTCATAATTTTATTTTTTGTACATACACGCACATTTATGATTGGTTAAAACTCTTAATTATATGCAATAAGAACATAATGATATGATTAAGAATACATGATAATTCATTAGAAACACCAATTAATCAAATAGTTTGCTTAATTTGACACTAAAAAATAAGGAAACCCATCTTTAATATGTACCACGTAGTAATAAAGCCCTTTTTGATAGAAAACAAATTTCAAATTACTTTCTTTTGGAAATGGCAACTTTGAAGTAGATTCACTACCAATTTTTTTGTATTTCATGTTCTTTTGTGATTTAAACCAAAATTGAATTTGTTTCTGCAGTTAGTTTTCTTTTAAATTGAATTCAGGCTTGTGAAAGTAGAATTTAATGACAGTTTAAAGGAGCTATTACACATAGATTTCCATATTGCATATTTGGATGAGTGATTTTGAATCATTAAAGTTTAAACCATTATGGTTATATGTTTACATTTTTTATGTGGGATAGTATCTTTTGCGTCTTGTGAAAGCTGAATTTAATGATAGTTTGAAAGAGCTATTTCACATAGATTTCCAAATTGCATATTTGGATGATTGAAATTTGTATGTGAGACAGCCTCTTTA